AAAAAAAAAAAAAAAAAAAAAAAAAAAAAAGCCAGTGTGATGGCACATGCTTTTAATCTCAGTGACTAAGCAGACTAAGCAGGCTGAGGCAGGTGGATTGCAAATTCAAGGCCTGCCTTCAGCAACTTTGCAAGGTCCTAAGCAACTTTGSAAGACTTGTCTCAAAATAAAAAATTAAGGCAGGCATGGTCGCATATGCCTGTAATCCTAGTGGCTTGAGAGGCTGAGGCAGGAGAACTGCAGTTCAAAGCCAGCCTTAGGAACTTAGCAAGGCCCTAAGCAACTGGTGATGTGGCTCAGTGGTTAAGTACCCTGGGTTCAATCCCTGGTACCAAAAAAAAAAGGGCTGGGGAAGTAGCTCAGTTGAACACCCCTTGGTTCAATTCCCAGGACCACACACACAAACACACATAAACACACACACACATAAAAGAAAAGTTATATTTAATCTTAAGAGCTTTCTGTTTTAATTGAATTTAGTTTTGATGTTATTAACTCAACTTTAGCCATTCTTACCCACTAATAAGAGTAACCTTTGCATAAAGTGCAGATATATATATAGTACATAACCAGATAAGCAATGTATCTGTGGTATTAAAGTTTCATGGCATGTTAACTAGGAAAAAATGTCTAAAAAGGCTTCAAGTGGGGCAAGAAAGTACAAATGAAAAGGTTGAGAAATACTGACTCAGATGTATGAGCTTCAGCAGGTATGTTAAAAACAAAGATGCCTTAATACTTTAAGTCATTCCTACATTATTTTTTCTAAATCTATGTTAACAACTTTTAAAAAGGAATTTTATGACAAATGATGCAAAACACTATCCAACTAAAAATGCATGAAGTTCATCCTCGGGATGTAAGGGTGGTTCAACATACGGAAATCAATAAATGTAATTCATCACATCAATAGACTTAAAGATAAGAACCATATGATCATCTCGATAGATGCAGAAAAAGCATTTGACAAAATACACCACCCTTTTACATTCAAAAAACTAGAAAAACTAGGGATAACAGGAACTTACCTCAACATTGTAAAAGCTATCTACGTTAAGCCTCAGGCGAACATCATTCTAAACAGAGAAAAACTGAAGGCATTCCCTTTAAAATCTGGAACAAGACAGGGATGCCTTCTTTCACCACTTCTATTCAATATAGTTCTTGAAACACTGGCCAGAGCAATTAGACAGAGGAAAGAAATTAAAGGAATAACTATAGGAAAAGAAGAACTTAAACTAGCACTATTTGCTGATGATATGATTCTATACTTAGAAGACCCAAAAAACTCTACCAAGAAACTTCTAGAACTAGTAAATGAATTCAGCAAAGTGGCAGGATATAAAATCAACACCCATAAATCAAAGACATTTCTGTATATCAGTGACAAATCCTCTGAAAAGGAAATGAGGAAAACTACCCCATTCACAATATCCTCAAAAGAAATAAAATACTTGGGAATCAACTTAACCATTTGACCCAGCTATTCCTCTTCTCCAACTATACCCAAAGACCCTAAAAACAGCATACTACAGGGATACAGCCACATCAATATTTATAGTAGTACAATTCACAATAGCTAAATTGTGGAGTCAACCTAGATGTCTTTCAGTGGATGAATGGATAAAAAAAATGTTGTATTTCTACACAATGGAATATTACTCAGCACTAAAAAAGAATAAAATCATGGCATTTGCAGGGAAATGGATGGCATTAGGGAAGATTATGCTAAGTGAAGTTAGCCAATCCCCCCCCAAAATGTCATATGTCTTCTCTGATATAAAAGGGGTGACTCAAAATGGGGTAGGGAGGGACAGCATGGGAGGAAGATTACCTCCAGATAGGGAATAGGAGTGGGAAGGAAAGGGAGGAAGAAGTGGAATAGCATGGATGGTGGAAGGAGACTCTCATCATTATACAAAATACACGTATGAAGATGTGAATTTGGTGTCAACATACCTTATATACAAACAGAGATATGATAAATTGAGGTATAAGGGTGTATTAAGAATTGTAATAAAAAAWAATAATAAGAGCTCATGTATAATGACATAATTTGGTGTGAACATACTTTATATACAGTTATAAAAAATTGTGCTGTGAATGGATAATTATGATTGTAATGCATTCCACTATTGTCATGTATGTAAGAAAGAAAATGCATAAAGTTCTAGTARAATGAAGAGTGAACACAAACAGTTCAAAATGTTTAAGTTCTGCTGTGAATCAGGGTAGTACTAACTCAGTTGCCTAAGAAAAAATGCATTCCAGGCACTGCTAGACAGATTTTGCTTATGCTATTTAATGCTCTCTTTAGAGACCTTTTAAATTTACTTTTTAGAAATTGTTTAAAATTACTTTTTGTTTAAATTTACTTTTTAGAAAGTAGATTTTTTAAAGGTAAAACCTATTCAAATGTCCTAAGACTTTAGTTGCCTTTACAAAAAATATAACTAAAGACAAAAATTTTGTTTAAATTTACTTTTTACAAAGTAGGTTTCTAAATTTGGACTGCCTGGGTTTAGATGTGGGTTTTGCTATTCATTAGTTGGTTGCTATTCACCTTCAGCAACTTCTTCTATGCCTCATTTACTCATTAGTAAAATGGTATTATTATTATGTACCTTTTAGAATTGTGATGAATAAAAAAAAAGCTAATACATGAAAAGTACTTAGACTACTGCACTGGCATATTAAAAGAATTCAACAAATATGAACTATTTTAAATGAAAGTCTTGATCTTGCAAGTGTTGTGCAGAGATCCAAAGTATCAATGGCTTCCAGCAGGGTTAAGGTGAGCACTGCCGGCTCTTCAAATGAAGGCCTTGAAATTCTGGACTGGCTCTGAGGAGTCTATTGCTTTGTCATGGATAGGAATGATTTCTAGAGGAACTTGATCCTGAGCTTGGGACTCTTGGCTGCAGGAGTTTGGCTGGCCAGAAACTTGAGTGACATTGACCTAATGGCACAGTCAGCGGTTTAACCAGTAGACAAATGGAATTCCTGTGTTGCACATAAACCTTCCAAAAACAGCCTACAATCTGTGACTGGCAYAAGGTATGCCCTGATGGCAGCTGAAGTTGGATTCACAGGGCACCTTCATCTTCCCCTTACCTGGCTGAATTCCACTCTCTGGTCAACATTCAGCCTCTGCCAAAGTGTTGCCTCTGTTCTGTAAAATTCTGTACATAGTTCCTAAGTTTCTGCAGGGGGTGATTTTGCTCTTGTTCCAAGGAATAATGATGGTGTTATAACAAATATTTGAAATAAAAATCACACAAAGATAAAAAAAGAAAAAATAAAGTCATCTCCCAATGGCTTAATTAGAAGTAATTCTATGGAATAAAACAATATAATAATTTTTCCCCTAAGAGTTAATTATGATTTATCACTGAAGGAGACCAGTTAATTGGGAAGAAATAAAAAAATGACAGAAATTTTTTATATTCTGAAACTTAGAAGATGAACCACTACTATTCATCTACTAATGTTTTATACAAATATTTCCCCATGTTCTACATAGGTAAAATATCATTAAAAAGCATTTTAAATTAGTATCCTAAAAAATTACAGTTGAGACTTGTTTTTCTTTCATTTATTTAGTGTTTATTGAGTATCAATTACATGCCAGGCACGTTGGTTAATAAAGACCAATAATTATAATAATAGCTAGTCCTTAAAATAGTGCTATGTGCCAGGGATGTTCTAAGCATCAAATGGTAGAAAGCAAGAGTTTGGGTTCATCCTGTCTCCGCCCTGAACATGCATCCCTGCAGACTTATTTAACTTCTCTATGGTCCTTGTCTGTAAAATCAGAATTGGGAATCAATCTATTTTGTAGTAGGTTGGAAAAATTAATTTAGAAGCTTATAACATGCCAATCTTAATTTATGGAAAGATATTCCATATTTGTTCTTCCTCTTTCTGTAAACTCAGAGTTTAGTTTTAACATAGTAATGATACTGACTAAAGAAAGTGCTATAGTAAAATAATAAAATAGAAAAGGGAAATATATCAGTGAGATGAAAAGAGAGAAGTGAAATGTAAGAAGAGAATATGTCAAACTCTGAACTTAAGCAATTTCTGGTGTGAATCAGGGTAGTACGAACTCAGTTGTACGATTTCTTATTGGTCAGATTTTGCTTTTAAACCTAATTATTAAAAAAAGTGAGTTCTGAGTAAAACAATCAATTTACACACACACACACACACACACACACACACACACACTGAGATCATTGCTTTAAGAAAGAAAACTATGGACATACATGATACAGCTTAGCAGTTCAAGAAATCTGAAGACACAAAACCTGGAACAATATCTTTTCAATTAAAATGAAAAGCCTGTGCTAGCCAGAAAAAAATGCCACAGTATGTTGAAGGTAATACCCAGGAATACTAATCTAGTTAAATACAAAGCAAAGAAAAAATTTAGGATCAAAACAAAATGCCTCGGGGTGGGTGGGGGGCTGGGGTTATGGCTCAGTGGCAGAGTGCTCGCCTAGCACGTGTGAGGCCCTGGGTTCGATCCTAAGCACCACATAAAAATAAATAAATAAAATTAAAGATATTGTGTTCAACAATTAAAAATATTAAAAAAATGCCTCAACAAAAAGAAAAATGCTAGTTGCAGCTACTGGRGCAGTTGAGGAAAGATCTTATGAGCACAGGGATCAGGGTCATCCTGGTCAACATAGCGAGACCCCGTCTCAAGAGGAATCTGGGGGAAGCAAACGAAAAAAAGGGTAATGGAAGACGTTTTAAGTTTAGAAGATGGTCCACCATCAAGGACTGTTTAAAATCACGTGAAGTTATCTAATATTGATATTTAGTACTGAAAATACTAAATTTCTCAGTCTTCAAGATAGCTCACTGGTATTATTCAGCCAAAAGAACTCAAAGAGATTACTTACGTGTGAACTCCATCTGATTTTCTTTGTTCAAAAACTAAGGTTTTGCCTTCTGGAGAGGCAAGGTAGAAATCAATATCTAATCCAGCTCCATCTAAAACCTACAGATGAGCACACAAGAGAAAAATATATATTATAAATTCTGAAAATAAAATATAAAGTAGATCATATGATGTAATGAGAAGGGAGCTGAAAGTTCACCTAGTTCAATTCCATTCATTTTCAGAACCTGTGCTTTCCCTATCCACTCCCATTGCCATAACCTAAATTTAAGCCTTATGGAGGTAACTAAAATAAATATTTCTACAACAGTGGCTTTATTGAGAAGACTCATACAGGGGACAGAAATAGAAGGCAGTTCACACTTGATTTTAGCTAAAAGGCCAAGAAACAATTAGAGGGCAGTTCAAATGCTAGGCCTTTTACTTAAAATTTAGGCAATTTAAGTCAGGTGTGATGGTGCAGGCTTGTAATCCCAACAGCTCAGGAGACTGAGACAGGAGGATTTCGAGGTCAAAGCCAGCCTCAGCAAAAGTGAGGTGTTAAGTAACTCAGTGAGACCCTGTCTCTAAATAAAATACAGAATAAGGCTGAGGATGTGGCTTAGTAGTTGAATGCCCCCTCAGTCAATTCCTGGTACCCCACCCCCGCCACACACACAAAAACCAACAACAACAAAAAAAACCTTAGGCAATATAAGACAAGCCTCCAGGCAGCTGGGGAGGCTGAAGTGGGAGGATCACAAGTTAAAAGGCAGCCTTGAAATTTAACTGAAAGAGCTGGAGATGTAGCTCAGTGGTAAAGCATCTCAATAACACCAAGAAGGGGGAAGGGAAGGTGGAGAGGGAGAAGATTCTAAATAACTTCTTGAGTTTGTTTCCTCTTCAATTAAGAAAAAAAAATTAGCTACTTAATTCAAGATTCCCATGATCTGACCCCAGTTGACTTCTTTATTCTTTTTTTAAATTTTTCTTTGAGAGAGAGAGAGAGAGAGAGAGAGAGAGAGAGAGAGAGAATTTTTTTTAATATTTATTTATTTTAGTTTTCGGCGGACATAACATCTTTATTTGTATGTGGTGCTGAGTATCGAACCCGGGCCACACGCATGCCAGGCGAGCGCGCTACCGCTTGAGCCACATCCCCAGCCCAGACTTCTTTATTCTTTAACATATTTTTCTACTACAACACAAATTGAATATTCCATCTATTGGCCAATGATCATGATTTGTTCCTTTATAACCCTCAAAGGTCCTTATGTGGGTGATGATAGTGATAACAGCAGATAATAATTATAGTTTCTGCCACACATTGTTATAAGTGATTTATGTGGATTAATTTATTCCTTATAAAATTCTGAAAGGTAAGTCCTATTATTCTTTTTTCCATAGGTTTTTTAAAAAAATATTTATTTTTAAGTTTTAGGTGGACACAATATCTTTATTTTACATTTATGTGGTACTGAGGACCGAACCCAGTGCCTTATGCATGCTAGGCAAGCACTCTACCACTGAGCCACAATCCCAGCCCCTTTTCCATAGTTTTTTATTGGTACATCATAATTGTGCATAGTAGTGGGATTTGTTGTACATATTTATATTATTCTTATCATGAAAAAAAAAACAACACCAAACCTCAAAATGAGGCATAAGAAGTAATTTTTCCAAGGTGATAAAACAAATAAGTGGCACAGTCAAAATGTGAATTTGGTAATCTGTCTCCAGATTAATTTTTTGGATTTGAATTGGGGATTGAACCCAGGGCCGCCTCCATGCTAGGTAAGTAACTGTTCTACTACAGAGCTATATCCCAAGCACCCATGCCCATCTCCTAATACCTTTTAATTTTAATTTGAGAGAGGGTCTTAAACTAAGTTGCCCAGGCTGGCCTCAAATTTGCAATCCTCCTGCTGCAGGCTCCCAAGTAGCTGGGATTACTGGCATGTGCTACCTCACCAGGCTTCAGAATAATTTTTATTTTTTGATACTAAAGATTAAACCCAGAGGTACTTTACCACTGAGTTATATCCCCAGACCTTTCTATTTTAAGGCAGGGTCTCATTAAATTACCTAGGGCCATGCTAAATTGCTAAAACTGACTTTGAACTTGTACTTCTCCTGCCTCAGCCTCCCAAACTGCTGGGATTACAGGTGTGCACCAGTGTGTCCAGACCCAGAGTAATTATTATTATTTTTTAAATATTTATTTTTCAGTTGTAGCTGGCCACAATACCTTTCTCTCTCTCTCTCTCTGTCTCTCTCTTCCTTTCTTTCTGGTGCTGAGGATTGAACCCAGGGCTTTTCACATGCTAGGTGAGCCCTCTACTACTGAGCCACAACCCCAGTCCCCAGAGTAATTATTAATGAGTATATTGTGTTGTCTCTAGTGTTCTTATGGACTCCTGAATGGTTCCTCATCCAACTGTACCCATTTTCTTCAAGAGCTACCAGCTTAAGTTCTCTGAAAATGGTCTCTGCCTCCCCCTAACCCTATCCCCCACTTAGTTCTTGTATATTCTTTCCTGTGTTCCTACAGAAGCCATGCCTGTCCTCTTTGACACTTAATCATATATTATCTGGGATCAAAGCATCTTTATGATGGGTGAAAAAATTTTTACATCGCTCACTATTTTTATATTTATAACTCTAAGGGCATTTACAATATTACCAATGTTTTGATTTTGTCACTGATGCAGATATTTAATAAATCCATCTTTTTCCCATCTTACACAAATTAAAGTGTCTTAATGTTTCCCTGTAGAATCTTTCTCTTGTCTTCCTCTCTTTCATTTCTCTCCCTGCCTTTTCTCTTTTGTATTTATAGCACTTGTTAAAAATGAAAAAAAAAAATCTATTTGGAACATAACAGCCTCTTAAAAAATAACCAACACTCAATGGCTATTCTTTTTCATAAATAACACTATTTTATTTTTCTTGTTGATTTTAATGTAATCTTATAAAAGATCATTCTCAGTAAAAACTATTTCTGCACTCTTAATGGTAACAAAACTGGTTTCAAATGGCTGGTGAAATATACATAATTCTTTATTTAAATCCTAATGAAATATAAAATATACATAATAAAAATAATCCATAAGACTGGAGGAGCTGGGGACGTAGCTTAGTTATAGCACTTGCCTAGCATTGGTAAAGTCCTGGATTTAATCCCCAGTACTGCAACAAACAAGCCAAAACAAACAGCCTCAAAACACCATTTTCAGATTGAAGAGTAATTTCTGGAAGATATTCACTGAACAAAGTGTATATGTAGCCACCAATATTAATCAATTTCAAAATTCTTAAAATAGATTAAAGAAACACCAAATATTTGTTGAAATTGAGATGTTCTCATTTTCACTCACTACTGGTTTTTCTTGGGAATCAAGTTCTCTAAAAATAGTTAACAGACTTAAAAACATGTGTCCTCAGATAAATATACTATGTATCCTCAGAAAAATTCAAGAAGATACTATCCATGGGCTGGAGTTGTGGCTCAATGGTAGAGCACTTGCCTGGCATATGTGAGGCCCTGGGTTARATCCTCAGCACTGCATATAGATAGAGTAAATAAATATCCATCTACAACTAATAAATATTTTTTAAAAAAGTAAAAACAAAAGAATATACCATTCATAAAAAATGAAGATGTTGCTGGGCACAGTGATGTATTCCATAATCCAAGCTACTCAGGAGGCTAAGGCTGAAGGATCACAAGTTTAAGGCCAACCTTGGCAACATAGCAAAACCCTGTCTCAAAATAAAGGGGGGTGCGGCACAGTGGGGATGTGGTTCATAGAGTGTCCTGAGTTTAATCCCCAGCATCAAATAAAAATATTTTTTTCTTACAATTTAAAACTCTGTAAGGATTATAATGATCATGATGACAATTATTTTAATTAAAATGAATGAATTAATGAAGAATAATCAAAACTCTCAACCAAGCCCCATGTGTTCCTGTGAGTATGGGAAAAGATGTGGAAGAATTCATATTTAGGAGAATGACAAGTATCCATAAGATCATATGTAATCCCCCCTTTCTCCATGAGAGTGACAGATTTGTTTTTTCTTTCATTTTTATACCTTTGACTTATTCTAACAATAATGTATATTACTTTTTCTGGGGGGTGGTACAGAGGATTGAACTCAGAGGCACTTAACTACTGAGCCACATTCCCAGCCCTTTTTTTGTAGTTTATTTAGAGACAGGGTCTTGCTGAATTACTTAGCACCTTGCTAAATTGCTGAGGCTGGCTTTGAATTCGATATCCTCCTGCCTCAGCCTCTGGAGCTGCTGGGATWATTATAGGCATGCACCACCATGCTGGGCTATGTTTTAATATGTATTTTTTTTAGTTGTAGTTGGACACAATACACCTATCTATCTATCATCTATCTATCTATCTATCTATCTATCTATCTATCTATCTATCTATCTATCTATCGTGGTGCTAAGGATCGAACCCAGGGCTTTGCACGTGCTAGGTGAATGCTCTACTGCTGAGCTACAATCCCAGACCACGGATGTATATTATTTTTATAACAGGAAGTAAGAAAGTTCAAAAAATATCAGTTAATGAACCAGGAAATAAAACAAAATATTCAAAAGCCAATTTTTTTGTCAAAGCTCATTAAAACTTTTATCTAGTTTCTACATACACATATAACATTAGGTGAGTATACCTGCAGATAAAATGGAGATAGGATATTCCAAATGGTATTAGGTATAATATTATACTAGTAATTTTTAAAAAATTAGATGAAATACACATTTGAAGGAAAAATACTGAAATTTGACACAAGATACAAAAAATTTAAAAGTCTAATAAAAATAAAACAAATTTGACATAGCTCTTTTCTCCCAAAGACTTACTCAGTTATATAAGTTCAGTGAAAATTTGGTTCACCATTGTTAATATTTTTTTAATTAATTTATTTTTTTATATATGACAGAGGAATGAATTACAATTCTTAACCATTTTTAATACTTTTAAGTACCTATTATATACTATGTATTGTTCTAAGCTGAGGGTATATTTTCTTTTAATATTTATTTTTTCAGTTATAGTTGGACACAATGCCTTTATTTATTTATTTATTTTTATGCG